AAATTCAATATTAATTTATTATATAAACTTATTATTTAGTATATATATATTATATTCTGTATATTATTTGTAATTTTTTTTATTATTTTTATATCTATTTTTTCATAGGGCAGGGGTCGTAAAAGTACTCTAAACTGTATAAATTCAATTGAATAAAATTGACCAATCATGAGAAAGTTAGCCTATATTTCTGAACCTCCAGTGACACCGACAGATTTTCACTGATCGACATCAATTAAAATCAAAACAAAAACTGCCATTTTTTTAAAAAAAACTCTGTAACTATCTTCTGCGCGTTAGTAAAAAAGGCACCTTGCAAAATTTTAGTATTATAAACCAAACTCTAAGGTACTGTTTTATGACTTTAAAAAAATTGGCGATTAGTGAAAGTCTGTCGGTGCCACTGGGGTAGTTCCCATTCTGCAAGAGATCCAATTTCGGATTTAGATATGTTGAATCTGTTGAATCGTAAAATAATATGACCATCGGATAAAATTACAGCTGTGTATGGTACTTTAATGAACATTGGAAGCTTGACTGTATACCTTATAGAAACAAATATAAACATTGAAATTAAATATTTCCTAAATTATTAACGTAAAGTGTGTATGTTTATTGAAATAGATAATTTAAAGAATATCTATAACTTATTGATCCTTTCCAATTCAGAATCTTTTTGAAGTTTTACTAATATAAACTGCTTTTATAGTAATATAATTAGAAATTTACATGTCTCAATAAATTTTTATGATGAAGTTTTTACTTATTCGGTTACAATAAACATTATTTTATTTTTATCTGGCAAAAAAAAAAAAACACAAATAAAGAAATATTTATACTAAAAAATTATGCACTACAATAATCGCATCTTACAGCTCCAGCAGGAAAATTGGCTTCATAAGGAGTAGAACAATCATAAGGAGTCGAATTATAAAAAGTCGTTAAGAAACAACCAGAGTTTATAAAATATGCAATACAAATAGGATCATTATAACAGGCTTTGCAACATTCTTCTAATGTTGTTATTGAGTCAATTACATTATACCAATTATCAGCAGCATCAATTAAGAAACCATTACGTCCTATTCCACCATCACTGCAGCAAGCATCCTCAGAAATTGAAGTAGGTGCACAAATGGTAGTAGTAGGTGTGCAAGTTGTGGTTATTGTTTTTTTGCAACTATCGCATTCATCAGGTATCTGCTTATTATCAGGGCACGAGGTGAGTGTAGGCATTTCAGTCGAACAGGTTATAGTAGATGTTACAGTTTCAGTGCTAACATCAGTGATAGTGCATGTTTTAAGAGGTTTATGAGGGTTGTATTGTTTACCATCAATGTTTGATACTAGTAAATAAATGAGAAAAATAAAAAGTAATTTTTTCATTGTTAATTTTTCAAAGGCAAACCGATTTATTTTTTCAAAAGCAAAATGATTTATTTCAGCATTTAAATATTTTCAATGTCATTATTTTCTTATACATGCAAAAAATGCATTAATTTTATTAACATGTAATTAATACAGGTTTTGCATACCAAATTAGTACAAACCGACAGTCATGTTTGTACAAGCTTGGGGTATTCAAATGCTAATTAATCAAATTTATGTAAGATGCAGTAATAATTGGATTGCTATTAGATTTAATTAATTATTTTATTTAATTTTAACGCCTACTATGATTTTGTTTGGCTATTTCGGTATATATGATTTTGGTTTGTATTTTATGCGTATCCCTGTGAGCCGCCACTTTTCCTTTTTCAACTAAAAAGGAAATTATTGGTTATTCCAACATTTTTATACGAGTGCTGTCAAGGGAAAACCTATCATCGGACGTTCAATTATATTTCGTGTACAGTGTCACGACGAATTGTCGCTACAGAACTGTTGACATCGTGTAACGTCACTCAAAAGTTTGGCGAGGCGGTTACGACTTTGCCCAGGTTAAGATGGCTTTTGAGAGCGTTACAAGGAAAATTTCGGATAGGATAAGTGAATGGGTTTAAAGAACGTATAAAAAGTTGTGATTTGGTCTCTTTGTTTTGGAACACAAGAACTTTGTTTAATTTGGTTATTAAACTCTTAGGGCGGGTCTATCTAAAGGTTCAACGGTTACCCTTACAAGAGGGAAAGCTAACCCGTATTTAAAAGAAATTACAAAGGAAAAAGAAGGGAATTCGAATACGAATTTGATACCCTTTTCTCATTGACATAAGCCGTTTTGTCCTTTTTTACTATCACTTTTCCCTTTTTCTACAACCCAGCAGTCGTTTTATTAACATTTTCATTGAATTTTTACTTCTCCAAAGATGACACACAACCCAACGGCCACAGACTTTACCTGTCAAGGTAATATTACCTTGACAGATGTCTTCCAAATCGGACAGGTGGCTTTTTCTCAATGGGATCGGCGTGGTCACTTAGCGGGTCATGGGCATCGTGGTATGACGGTTTTTCATGGTGCATTTCGTGGGTCGTTACGCAATGTTTCCTCATGGTCCTAGGGTCGGATTTACCCATAACAATATGAATCTATAGAATCAAATAAATTTTAATATGAATATTTTTAATTTTAATTCTATTAATCCATATAAAATCTTCATCAGTCTTATATATGTAGTTAGCAAGATCACTTAATACAAATTGCTTATTTTTTGATTATCACTGGATTTGCACCGATATCACGATAACTACTTACCTAAAATTATTTTATTAACCTATTGTTATAGAATCCATATAATGCAATACAGTAAACTCCCTGATTATCGGTTGTAATTTGGAAGGGTATAAATTACGCTGATGCCTACCATTGCCTGCAGGTCTAAAAAAGCCGCTATGTAACATTTGTTCGAAACTTTGGCATTCATTGGAACTAATTTAAAAAAGAGTTTAAAGTGAACATATGTGTATTTAAAAAAGGAGTGTAACGGTTTGCATAATTTGTAAAATTTGCAGATTATTCAAAAAGAAAATTACTTAATTGCATTATTTATTTATTTTTTAAGCTACGACTTAAAGATTTATATCTGTACCTTTAATCTTGAAATAACATAAGCTCGCTTTTTTTAAATCATTCATGCTCATGTTTCCTTCCATTCCTAGTTTTACACAATTGCATTATAAAACTACTTATAATGATGAAAAATCGCAATATTGCAAATTTATATAGAACTAGGAATATGTTTGAATAATCGGTTATGAATCACATACCCCAATAGCACAACAACACATACATTTACCAAATGCAATGCACCAAAATTTTCTGTTCTTCGTATAGCATTATAATGTCACACAGCCATCTTAATCAGTATGAAAGCTTATTCATTCACGATTCATTAATTTGAATATAAATGTATAAATTTTTATACAAAATAATAGAGTAATACACCGCAGTTATCTTAAGCAGTTCAAGCACCTAGTTGTGCATTACTAAATTTTATTGGTAAACTTTGAATGACCAATTACAGTTAATTTCTATCTCAAATACTAATAATAAATGAAATCGTTAAGTTCAAAACATTTCACCGTAATCATGTAACCTAAAATAATCTTTAACCAGTTTAAACTACCCTTGTTATCTAAATTCAAAGCTAAATATTTATATATTATGCTGCCAAAATTTTTAAATTATGAATGTATCAAATCTAATCTAATTATAAAAATTAAACTCAACATTACAGATTAAAACATGCTAAAAATACTACTAATTTTCAATTCATCAACAAAACAATGTAGATAAAGAAATTAACAAAAAAGATATTAAATGAGATAGAGGTCATTTTGTGGGTGGTGAAAAGTTACAACAAGTATTAGGGATAGATGCATAAGGACAGCAACCACCGACATTAGAATTGCAACATTGCGAGTTGGAGGTACATGGTGATCCATCAGGAAGACATGTAGGTGTAGAAGCACAAACAATTGTAGTAGGTGTACAAGTTACTGTCGTTTTGCGTTCACATTCTTTGCAATCATCGGGTACTTGCCGGCATTCAGGACAAGCACTAGAACTAGGTGTTCCAGTTGAACAGAGTGTCGTGCTTGTCACTGTTGCATTGCTAATATCAGTGATAGTACATGTTTTAGAAGATTTTTGATGATATTTGTATCTAGCATCAATATTTAATGCTAACAAATGAATGAGAAAAATAATAAGAAGTGATTTAAAAATTTTTCTATTCATCGTTAATTGATTATTTCAAGCATAGAAATACGTTTAATTTATAGATAAATTTTTGAAAAATTCTTATTATACACGATGTACTAATTTATTGAAATGCATATCTACTACGTAATAAATACCACTGTGAAATACTAATTTAAAATTCTTATTATGCACAATGTATTAAATTAATGAAATGCATATCTACAAATGGATACCACTGAAAAATACCCAATCTACTTAAATTCGGGTCCTACTTAAAACATATTATACATATAATAAGTAAATTCGATTTATATAACGATAAACGATTCTTTGACTGGTTTGTCAATGAAGTAACAATGCCGACAAGGCCAACATTAGGCCGCTTGGCCGTTTAGTAGGAGCATCATCCCCCTTATAGTCAACTGTCATCCTGAAATTAAACAAGAAAACCACAGTGCATGGTTATTATCTATAGTTATGTGATTATCAAATATTCTGTACATATATTGTTTAAATATTCTGTACAAAAAAAGATCGACGATCTCTCTCTCCTGACCACTTGCGTTTAGGGTTGAGAGTAATTTAGAAGAAACAAAATTAAT